AATAATAATTATTAACTTATAAATACATAGGTGTGCGTATAGAAACAGCAGAAATTCGCATGTAAGTGCTTGACTATCTTTGTTTAAATCAGATTTAAATACAAAAATTGATTTAAGCATAAGTTGATTGAAATATCTTTTTTATAAAATTTTAATAAAAGGGAAGATGCCATAAAAGTGGAGGAAAAGTTTTGTGGTACTCGTATTTAAAGGCAAAGGAGACATAAATGAATGTGGAAATTATAAAGCTTATGAGTCATATTGTGAAGATTTGAAAAAAGTTGATAGATAACAGTATAAGAAATGAACATCTTTAACTAAAAACCAGTTTGGTTTTTTGCCTGAAAAGTAAACGATGAAGCAGTTTTTCGTGTGAGACATCTAATAAAAAAATAAAAGGAGAAAAATAAATTTTATATGATTTTTATAAATTTAAAGAAAGCGTATGACAGAGTGCCAAAAGAAGTTTTAAAATGGGAATTAGATAGAAAAAGAGTCCTAAAAACGTATATTGATGTAATAGANTGGGAATTAGATAGAAAAAGAGTCCTAAAAACGTATATTGATGTAATAGAAGATATATAAGAAGGTATTTATACTAAGGTAAAAATTGTGTGGAGAAACAAAGAATTTCAGGGCAAGAGTAAATGTACACTAAGGTTCTGCTTTAAGCCCTTGTCTATTTTCTGTAGTAATGGATGAAATTATTAAGGAATTATAGCAATGCATGCTGTTTTCTGATGATGTAGTGTTAATAGAAGAAAATAGGAAAGAAATTATTTTCTGAAATTGAAAGTAATGTTGACGTTACAATGATGCAGTCCGATCTAAATTCATTCTGTAACTGGTCTTATTTTTTCTTACTCGTTTGGCCTTATAGTGATTAAGGCCAGTTTTCTCCCAATTATCACCGTCCTTTTTATGTAGTGTTTCCTCTTCTTAAACAATCTACTAAATTATTTACTTATCGTGACTTCAATTCTGCGCCAACTCTTTTCTTTCCTCATTTAATTAGGTACTTTCCTAATATAATGTCGATGAGGCATCCGCTGTCTATTAATGATGCCCTCCTTCTCTGTATAAACAGATTTGATCCCCTTAAAACGTATAAAAGTTCCCACTTTCCTATGGTCACAGCCATCCATTGCGCATCGTATGTTCTGTGTTGTTCGTCAGCGAATTTCTTATACTGTTTTCTTTATAACATATGACGATTTTTTTTGTTTTATTTTATTTGGTATATTATTGTACTTTTTGTTCGACATAATATAAAAAGACGAAGACAAAATAGTACATATTTTGTCTTTATCTTCTTTCCACTAATTGTTCGTCTTTACAATATTAAATACCATTTTATTGTCGTATTATATACTTATTTAATATTTTAACATATGTAATCACATTTGTAGAAATTTATACACATATTTCTATCTCTTACTATATTATTGTTGATTATTACATTGTACTAATATAAAAAGCCGTTTTGGTGTATATTATTTTATACATTATTATTAAAAATAAATAAACATCATAAAATGTGAACCGATTGGAATAAATTAGAATAACTATAGAAGTACAGAGAGGTCAATAAAAACCTTGCACATTTAGATTATCCCATACATTAGTTTGGTTAAGATTTGAGAGTTGATAAACCTTATTTAGTTAGTCAATAGATGAAAGTTATTTTTGAATGATTGGTTGTATAATAATTGCTTCAAAAAGTTTTTGCCCATCGTATCATTTCACACAATTGTGAAATTGAATGGTCTTTAAACCACCAGATTTATTGCATATTTATTTTTTGTGGGGCTATTTTAAAGGAAAATTTTACACTAATATAAGCCTAGAATATTGGAAAATATACAAAAAAATATTCTTTATTGAATTTAAATTAATAAGGACCAATATGTTCACACGAGTTATTAGAAGTTTTCGGATATACCTCTAAGAGTACATTCTAAATAAAGGATAACATTTAACGGGTGTTATTTTTAAATCCTAAATTTTTTGTTTAAAAAAAATATACGAAGAATAAGTTTAAGTCTTCTATTTTATTTTATTTAAGGATATCTTTTAACCTTTTTTCTTTGAAGTGCAAGTTATTACAAGAATAAAAAGATTCTAACTTTAAATTTAGTGTAAACTATGCATTTATTTAGAAATTTTAAGATAGATAAAATATTTCATTATACTACTATAATTTATTTGTACCTTATCATTCTAAAGAAATATTTAGGCATTCCTAATTATTTATGGTACTTAAAAGGTAGAACTTTTTCCATCCAATAAATTTCCGCAGTAGTATATACCTAATTAGAAACTTTAGTTTTAACTTCTTATTATTAATAGATTTTTAACGATTAAATATTTTCATTTTCAACTTAGAAAATATATTTTTTAGATATTTATCAATACATTTATGAAGAAAATATACAAAAATAATTCTTTATAAGTCTTATAAGAAATTTTAATTCTAAGACGAAAATATGGAACCTCTAAAATACTTCATGTGTTTATGAATATTAAATTATTATAATATTATTTTTTTATTAATAATCATAATTTACAATAAAATTTACGATTATCATAAGTTAAATTAATACTTTTTTTACATTAGAAAGTTGTTGCGGATTTCGAGAGAACTTTTCCCCAACCTGCATCTTCAAAATACTATATTCACCTCTTACAACTATTGATATCAGGTATATATTGACTATGATTTATTTGAACATATAACATCATCCTATTAATTAATACGATTTAATTAATATTACGATTTAGAATAACTATGTCGTGTCTTATAAATTAAATGTTTTTCATCCAAGTCCACAGTACGTGTGTTTTATTATATCTTACTCAACACGTTGAGTTCGCACGTTAAAATGTTTTTTTTTTTTTGTCAAATAACATACTTGATCAACCAACATCTTTTATTTGAGAAACGCCATAAGTCTAATTACTTAATACTCATACATAAACTTCATGTATTTTTCACGTATAAAAATAATTACAAATAGAGTTATTTTATTTATAACATCAACATTTCATTTATTTATAAACAATGTAGCCCTTTATTCACGAGTTTTATGAATAAATTAAAAATTTTAATTGAAATTTAGGTAAATAATGTTTATCTAATATAATACTGTTCTTAGGCCGTTTTCAAAATTTCGACTATGGACCAGTTGGAAATATGAAACATTACAACTCCAAAACTGCTCCTGAATATAATCTTAAAAAAGTAACGGCACCTTCAATTATTATTTACTCGAAGAATGATGCAGCCACAGTACCTTTGGTAATAAAATAATTTATTTATATGATATACTTATAATTTTATAATGATAATATAATATTAATAATTATAATTTTCAGGATGTAAAATGGTTGCTTGATAATATGCCTAACGTCAAAGACTCTTATTTCATAAAAAATAGTTCATTCAGTCATCAGGGGCTTATAGTTGGTAAAAAAGTACATACTGTTGTATATCCTTATATAATAAAAAAATTAAAGGAAGATGATTAAAAATTGTTTTATGAATGTACAAATTCTTTTAAAATAATAAATAAATTTAATCATTAACTGACTGTAACTATTTATAAATAATTTTAATTACGATTATATTAAAATAATTGATTGTTCAAATCTTGAATAACTCGAAACAAAGATTTTTTAGTTAATACCCCATTTTAATGAGGTTATGATTTCAAAAATTTATTTAAGTTAACTCAAATTTTCAATATCAAAGCACAAATATCAAATGTGTCAAGTCTAAGTCAGTAACATTAATACTTTTTACATTAACAATATTATATTAATGGAATCATTTATAGCTTAAATATAGATAATTTAAGTCTAAAAACAATATAATATGTTTATTTAATTTTTATTAAGTTATATACATAGTACCAGAGAGTTTGTACAGTTTAGCCAGGAATATGTTTTTCATTACACATACACGGATATCGGAATTCAGTTATTATGCTGAACTTTACAGGTTTTCCTGCTTCCTTTAACCTGAGCATTCAATTACTAACACGTGAGACTGCATACTAACATAGTTTCGAGATAACCTTTATGAACTATAATAATAAAACTAAGTCTCACCAAAAAGTTAACATAGAAATACAATGCGCCAATGTAGCTTAAACATTTCTACTATTAATGATTAAAACATATATTTAAATAATTAGTGAAAGAATACGCCAGTGCTTAATCAGTACTTCATTTACCAATTTGTGGCCTAGTACAATTTAAAATTGTGGCCCTATAAAAAAACAATATTTTGTTACAATGTTCATAATAGAATAAAATACCATTAACATAAAACATTTTAACTTGACACATAATATAATTTTAGTATTTGTTAAAATATATAAAATTTAAAATTCCTACATAATAAATTAAACAATGTAATAAAAATAATTCTGGACTCAATTACTATATTTTACTTTTATTAAACTCAGAAAAATAATAAAGAATAAGAGAAACACCAGTAACAAAGAACAAATTTGATTTTTTGCCTGGAATGTCGGCGATGAAGTCAGTTTTTTGTGTGTGGTAACTAATAGAAAAATGTAGGGAAAAGAAAATGCTGTATATGATATTTATAGATTCGGAGAACGTTATCGAAGTTTCTCGAAGGTTTTTGATAACGAGAACATTCGAGAATATTCGTTGCGTATGTTTTGGTCGCTACACCTGGAATGTCGGCGATGTAGTCAGTTTTTTGTGTGTGGTAACTAATAGAAAAATGTAGGGAAAAGAAAATGCTGTATATGATATTTATAGATTCGGAGAAAACGTATGATAGAGTACCGAGAGAGGTTTTAAAGAGGGCATTAATAAGAAAATAGATCCTAAACGGTACGTTAATACAATAGAGGCTATGTATGAAGGCATTTGTACCAGGGTAAAAAGTGTGGGCGGAGTAACAGAAAATTTTAGGGTAAGACTAGGAGTGCACCAAGGATCTGCTTTAAGCCTTTACTTATTTTCTATAGTGATAGGTGAAACTACTTGAGAAATAGAAGGAGAGGTACCGTGTTGTATATTGTTCACTGACGATATAATATTAATAGGATAAAATCAATCATAGTTTTGTCATTTTATGAGCAGAGAGGGTTCGAAAGCTGTAAAAATAGTTATGGAAATTAATTTTGAAGGAAGAGGGGGTAGAGAAAGACCAAAAAAGTAATGGAAGGATGCAATTAAATGCAATATGATGACGGCTGATATGTGCCTATGGTGCGAGATATCGTGTTAAGTAAAAGTTTAATAAAGATAGCCGACCTCAAGTAGTTGGGCTAAAGGTGAGTAAAAATAAGAAGACTTTTATTAAACTAGAACTCGATTGGTATTTTTTACTATAACTTAGTAGCTCAGACTTAGTTTGTATGTTTTTTTAAAACTAGTAAGTGTATTTCTGATTTCTATTAAACAGGTAAGGGACTCAACTGAAATACACCTATTTGTGAGTAGGAATACTAACATTATATAAAAATAAAATAAAATGAGAATACTATATTACTCAATATATTATACTAATATAATAAATTATTTTATCTATAAACAAAAATAGTATTAAGTTAATTTTTTTATAAATATAGATGTTACACATGTCAAATATTTGTGAACTTTATTAATAATTTAAGTGAATTAAACACATATTTAATTTTAAGTTTATTATTTTAACATTTATTACAAATTGTAAGCAAATTTAAAAAATTGACAATGAAAATAATAATGACATGTAAAAAATATTATGCAATAATTAAATGTAAGTACATAATTTGAAATATTAAAATCACTTGGTAAAAAATATGAATATTTATATGTTTAAAGTAACAGTTAATATTTTATCTCAAATTTAAACATAAAAAGTACCAAAAAAAAAAATTCACTTAAATAATAACAATGAAAATTATTAATAAAAAACAAATGAGAGAATTTCAATAAATAGAAATATTTACTGAAATATTAATAAAATAAAAAATCATAATTGTAATAACATAGATACTTTGGTCAACTCTAGAAATTAAAGGAACTAATTTATTAATAAATTCATATCACAAATATTAATAAATACTTTAGAAAATAAATAATTGTAAATTTATAAATTTGTGTTTAAAATTGCTTGTTTTTTTGCAAATGCTATGAATACTTGCTCAAGGGTTGTATCACTAATTGTGTAATCTTCAACAATAGAGTGGTTTTCTTTAATTGCTTTCATGTGGCCAAATATATCAGATAGTGGAACTCTCGGATTAGTAATATGATAATGTAATAAACCCTAAAAAATGGTAACAATAGAAAAAGCAGCAATAAAATAAATATTTCTAAAAGACAAAATAACTTTGAAAGAAGCACTCGCTGGTAACATCAAAAGCAAAAATAATACAATTTATCTAGAACATAAACTTATTTAAACTTTTGTAAAATTCATAGTAAAAAATAATAAGTACATAGAACTTTATCAATATTTGTAAACAAATTAATGAAGAATGATAGATAAAGTTCAACCCCCTAAAAATAAATAACTAACAAAAAACAGTAAAATATTTCCAAACATTTATTAATCTTTAAGGGCAAAAATGAATTAATCACACTTTTGGTCATTATTAAAAAAATTATCTTAAATTTGTAACATTATAAGAAATAATTTTTTTGGTGACATTTTTTTTCAAACAATAAATATAAATTTTTTAGTAAATCTAGTATAAGTTAAACATATTTCTATACATATCCATAAAATAATGGTTTAATTTTTGAAATGTTACAAATATTAAATTTAAAAAAATTATAATGTATACAGATTATAAAATGAAGAGTTGATGCAAATAAAGTATTATGTAGCAATTCGTAAAATATATTTTTTGATTCTATTAATATAAGTAGATGGCTTCATAGCATAGTTCACAAAAATATGAAATCTAAAAAATTTGTACACATTACATTTTTGTGAAATAACATACTGCGAAGCCATTTAATTATATTTAAAGAATCAGATAATATATTTTATGAATTACTACATAAAACTTTATTTCTACACTCATTTTATAATCTGTATACATTACATTAATTGCTATATTGCACGTTAATTACTGCCAACTTTTTCAATATAGTTTTCAGGGCTATTTTAAATTCAACCTCAAAGTTTAAAACGTAGAGAAAGGACATTTAAGAAATGTATTATTATTTAGTTTTTTTAATATTAACCAATATATTACTTTGTGTTCATCTTTTAGATAAATATCTGGAGCAAATTGACGCATTATATCTTCTTTTAGAGCAGTTAAATCTTGATTACCATTATGGATAAGCTTTATCATAATTGTAAATCCTTGTCCATATCGATTTTTTAAGTACTGAATGCTACCAATGCATTTCATTACCCCATCTACCATTATGGTTAAACGATTACATAAAGCTTCACATTCATCCATACTAAAAAATTTTATGAAAAATTTAAAAAAAATAGACTTTCATTAGAAAAATATCATTTTTCTAGAAAACAATACCTATGAGAAGTAAGTATAACAGCTTGTCCAGCTTTTTGACTCACAGCTAAAAGTTGCCATAAATTACGTCTTGCTATGGGATCTACACCACTGGTAGGTTCATCCAAAAATACTACAGGAGGATCTCCTATAAGAGCCATAGCAGTGTTCAGTTTTCTTTTATTTCCTCCACTATATGTGCCACTTTGCTTATTTTTATACTCTTCTAGACCTGAAATTTAAATAAATTAATGAAAAAACAAATTTAATTTGTTCACATTAGACTCAACTACCTAGAAGTTTAATCCATTTATTTACATGTTTACTAGCATTATTTGTTGAAATTCCTCTTAAAATGGCCATTAACCTTAAAGTTTCTTCCGCAGTAAGTTGATCATTAATAGCATCAAATTGTGGACAATAACCAATCATTGATATATACTATATAATTTTATTCATGTATTATTACATTATAAAAAAGTAACATGTATACTTAAATAAGTTATAAGTGACTTTTATAAAAAAAAAGTTATGAAATAGTAGGCCTACACTAAAAGAACAATTTTAATGAAAAAAAGTAAAAAATTAATGTCTAGCAAAAAAAAATTTTTTTTTTTTTTTTAATAATTACCTTTCCAAATGAAGAACTCAGTTTGAAAATTTCATCTGTTTGAATATATGCATCTCCTTTAGAAGGAAAAATATCACCAGTTAAAATCCTAAATGTTGTTGTTTTACCAGCACCATTGACACCAAGTAAACCAAAACATTCACCTGGTGCAACAGTAAAACTAATACCTCGGACACCAGTAAATTTTAAGTTAAACTTTTTAACTAAATTATCAACAACTAATATTGGCGATGTTGCATTATCTGTAAAAAATAAGAAAAATTGATTTATACACAAAATAACTAACATAAGACTAAAAACAATGAACAATTTTTATTGTTAAACTATACTCACAAACACGAGCTTTAGCAGCATCAACTTTATCTCTTTCACCACCAACATCAGGATCTTCATTATCATCTTTGTAGCTTTCTCCAGAACCAACAATTTTATTGAAAATAAATTGGTAACAAGTAGAAAATACTTTATAGTCCATTAAAAGTATGAATGCAATGTAGATTAAACTACTAAAAATTAAAAATAAAAGCTCTTCTAAAATAGCATACGAGTTATTTTTAGAAGCAAATTCAAAATATTGTTTCATCTTTGAATCAGAACCTGAGATAAAAATAGATATATTTATTTTAACAATTATTAGATTAATTATATTTAATTACCACTGCATGCTTCATGGGCATCAGGTGTCTTACAGAGTTTACACATATTATTTGACCATGAAATAGAAACAAAACCAACAATGCAAGCAGTATATGAAAAATGTGGCACTAACAAAATCACATACCGGATAATATTATACCAAAATGAAAATGAGCTATCATGAGTTTCAGACAACCCAGTTAATTTTGCAACCAACAGCATAGAATTAACTATCATCCCTATTAGAAAAATGTATAAAACAATTGTGTAATATAGAATAAAAAATAATAAATACAATAAACATTTTTATTTTATTCTTACCCAATATTAAATTTATGGCTATGAATAAAGATATAGAAGAAATCAAGGTTTTTTTAAAAAAACTGAAAGAGTATGCATAAAATATTGAACTCCAACCATATGCAATAAATATTATGAAAAGAGCACCTAAAATGATACAGTTCATTATATAAAATCCAAATAATTTACTTGAATGTTGCACTTACCAAACTCATTTTTTCCACTAAAAATATGATATTCATCAAAGAGGTATATTACTACCATAGTAGTAATTATAACAATAAAATAACAAATATAATCCCATATGAAACATGAAATCCAGTACGTAATAGGAGATAGTTTTGACATAATTTGTAAATGTTTAATACCACTAACTCTTTCATTCAAAGGTAATGCAATAAAATAACATATGAAATATAAAACTCCAGAAGAAAACATAGTAAGCCATATTATTGTTAATTGCAAAACAAAGTTACTTCCGCAAATACTCTAAAATTAAAATCGATCATATTGAAATTGTAAGGATGAAAAATTTAAAGCTAACCATACCTTATCTTCGTTTTGAATGGGTTCATTTATAACTGATATAGATGATTCATTATTTCCAGATAGTTTTTGCAGCAATGCATTAGAATACATATTTACAGCAATACCTGGAGTGTGATAGGCTATATTATTATAAATAACAGTTGTTTGTGTTTCATTAAAATCTCCAGCAATCATAACTTTTGATCTATATTTAAAGACATCCATTGAACATAGTTCTAGCAAGTCTTTAAAATAAAATAAAATATTAAATTATTTAAAGAACTCAATTTTGATTTAAATGTATTAATATTTTAAAATAATTTATTTTAGAATTTAATTTTAATATCACAACATTTTTAAACAGAATTGGAACAAAATTATATCTTGTTATGGTCAAAATATATATATATATATATATTTGTAATTACAATTTACTAAATTTTGATCAGAAGAAAGCTCAGTAACAGTGGCATGATACATTGTTGAAATAGATGCAAAACGAGATTCCAACTTATTAGTTGAATTTTCTCCAACATGATAATAAACATCACTATCTTCATAAGCATCTAATGCCAAATGCAGTTTTTTAGGGGGACTTGAAGCTTTAAATAAGTCATAACTTGAATTTAAGGTTAGATAAGCTATAAGTAATGGAAGAATACCCTATAACAAACACAAATTACAACATTATAAATTTTTAAAAAAATGTTAAATTTACTCATTTTTTATTATTTTTAAAAATGTTCAAATAATAATTTAAAAGATAATTTTAAGTAAAACTTACAAATATTAAAGTAAGAAACCATCTTCTTAAGGAATAAAGAATTTTTTTGGACAACAGCACTACAATTTGATTTTTCAACAAAGTTATACCACTTACATATTTTGGCATAAGAGCTAAAACAAAAAAAAAAAAGTAATACTTGATAAAAAAAGGGTCTTCTAGCATTGAAGCATTTAAATATTTTTTTTTAGTTAGCCATCTTATTTGATGATAAAAGAATTATTCTATTATTAAAAAATTGAATAAATAAAAAGCCTTTAATATTCTACTTTAAAGTTTTGATCAATTTTCAAAAAATTTTAACTCTAAGTAGATATTCTAAAAAAAACTAATTCGATCAATATCAAACATAGAAGAAAATAGTATAGATTGAAAAATTGACATTGACTAATATATATATATAATACATTTTTAAAAACATTTTAACAAAAATAAGTTGAGAAAGCTAAAAAATGTTTTAATTTATCATTTTTAACAGNAAAAATAAGTTGAGAAAGCTAAAAAATGTTTTAATTTATCATTTTTAACAGTTATAATTTTTTGAGGTATATGGCCAATTTATGAAGAACAAGAGAATTTTTTTTTTTTTATAAGGAAAATGTCTTCTAGTAAACCTCAAATTTTTGAAGGAGCCTAGATACCTAACGCCCCCCCACTTATGTACTTTGTATATAGAATATTCAGTAAGCAAAAAACAGGTTAATTTTCATATAATGAGAACAATAGAAGTCTGTTTCCTTAATTATTTAGCACCCTATATAAACTGAAAATAGCCAAAATAAAATAATGTAGTATTACTTAAAGTACAAAAGAATGAAAAACTTTAAAAAC